TCTATTAACACTTTATCGACCGCTAGCCTATTTATCGGCTTTTCGATTGCCAATGTTTATCGATCGCTAGCCTATTAATCGGCTTTTCGATTGCCAATGCTTTTCGACCGATAGCCTATTAATCGACTTTTAGCTATCGACGGTTTTCGCTTCTTTACTGTTTTGTTAGTAGCTGACCTCCTGTATGCTGACCTCCCCATATCCTTATGAATTATAATTATAATAATTATTATTATTTATTATTATTTTTAAAGGAATAAGCACAACACAATGAATAGCGAAAATTTAGCCGGTACTGGGAGCAAATGCGCGCGCGACTAAGCCAGTCCTTACTGAGTGGCAGCCTCAACCACGACCGGACGATAAAGTGTTAAGATCGGAAAAACAGTTTTGGATTTATAGTTAAAATGGCTTCGATTGCAGAGGGTTAACATGCACACACGTAACCATTAAATTCCCATTATCAGGGAGAATCATGAAAGCGGTCGGTCGTTCGGGTAATCACGTGTTTCGCTGGTGGAAATTCATTTTTCAGGGACTCGCGGCACGTTGATTGGTTTGCGTATCAAAGCGTACCATGGCATACCCTTCGCAGAGGTCCCAGAGACAAACCACAGCTAACTGAGTTACCTGTTCTACCGAGGGTCCGAGAAAATTTCAACAGAAACCAGGTAATTCAGCCTCGTGCCCGGCCACACACGTCGGACAACTGCTTTTGTAGCTTATGTCCACAAGTGACCGCCCTCGGGTATAATTCCCACGAAATTCGCACCGGAGTTGAATTCTATGGGAAAAACTGAAGCGATATCATGGAAAACATTCCTCATCTGCGACGCTTAATTACCGAGATAATTAAGGTTGACGTTGATGAACGTACGGCGCTACGTAGCTGGTGTTTGAAGACGACGCCGTTTGAGTGTTTCGATTAAAATATTTCTCGGTAATGAAGCCGTTTATTAAAAAATGTTACTGCACATTTTCGATGCAGTTTTCCTCGAAGAATCCTACAATGTCCTCGGAATTGAATTTCCATGCGAGGATAGTTAATTAAGTGCAAATACGTTGACCAATAGTGACAGCAAAGTTAATAAGCCTGTTTTGGATGTTCAAGTCAATATTTTTCAAAGCCGACGCTACGTACGTAAAAAAGTTATTTCACACTTTCGATGCAGTTTTCCTCGTAGAATCCCAAAATGTCCTCAGAATTGAATTTTGATAATAGAATACTTAATTAACTGCAGATACATTGAACAATAGAGGCAGCAAAGTTGATGAGCCTGTTTTGAATTTTCAAGTCAATATTTTTCGAAACCGGAGCCTTGTACAAAAAAGAAGTTACAGCACATTTCCGATGCCGTTCTTCCGTGGAATCCGATACAGTTTAGGGAAATCGTTTGAGCGCGCGGGTTGCGGAGATATTGTCGCAGCAAACGGGATGCATAAAGGTGGGAATCGTGAATTCTCCTTTCGTACATTCTATCCGCTTTTGAGGAACGGACGCGCCAGTTCCAGTGAGTTCACGCTTTGCGGTCCGCCACAGTCCTTTGTCGTCACGCCTATCCCGACGCGACGTCACGGTACGTCGACGGAGTCGTCATAACGACTGCAACGTTACGGTTCGCTTGCGACCGCCCTTTCAAACTGCAAACTGCCTTTCGCCAGTCAAAAAAATCGCCAAAATACGGCCGAGATTTGATCAGCTTGTTTGCATCGTTATCTCGACACACGCACACGGGCGCGCTCGACAAGCAAGCTGGACAAAAGAGCGGGCAAAAAATGCGACAACTATGGGGAGAATTTGCGACCACTAATGAAATTATCGAAATTATCGGCCGTCGGACGAACTTTTTAATTAAACAAAACCGGGCTAAATATAAATATAATATAAAATCGTTCCGGCGTGTCTTTGCTACGCATGTTTTCTAACTTTCACGGCAAATTGTTTTAATTGTTGGTGCAACTCCGAGATGAACAATTGTATGACAATGTACTTCGGCTCATTTCGAAGCCTGATGTTTTTACTTCTACACCCTTGAATTGAATTCTTCGAAAACATTTTTTTTTTTAACAAAAAATTTAATGATAAACAGTGGAGTCGCTATTTTCGTTATGTTTTTCAGATTCTAATGATTCTACGGAGTTCAAATAAATTTTCTCGATGTTCTTCTTAATGTGACGCTACAGAGGGAAGTCTTCCATTTAAAATGGCGTCTACGAAGTTGATTTGCGATTTTTAATCACGCTCTTATCGCTCTTTGAATACAAAGTTGCATGAAAAGTGAAAAATAATGCTTTCTATCAATGTTTTCGAAATTCATACGGTTTTACGGCATTCGAAAAATTCTTGTACACTCCCGTTTAAATTGACATAGAGGAAAGTCCCACCTTTAAGGTAATGACTCAGAACATGAATCGCGTTGTTTGATTAAGGTTTGACCGCCTTCCGAATCTACAGTCGCGAGCAAAATGTGTAATATTCCCATCTCTCGCAATGAATCGAATTCAAACAGTTCTACGAAGTTTAAAAAATTAATTCGGACTTTCGCATCGACGCGACGATATAGAAGAAAGTCTCCTCTTTAAAATAGCGCTGCAAAAGTTAATTTACAATGCATTGTCGCGATTTTGTTGCACTTTGAACGGAAAGTTGCGAGCAAGGTGAATAAATGTCGCCATTTTCCAATGTTTTACAAATTCAGATGGTTCTACGGAACCTAAAACATTTCTTTTTTCATGATTCCTCTTAATGTGCCGTTCTAGAGCGAAGTCTGCTCTTCAAAATGACATCACAGAAGTTGATGTATTATCTTTTTAATTGCGATTCCATCGCTCTTTGAATGCAAAGATCCATCCGCTAAACATTTTCTAAATTCGAGCGTTTCTACCAAACCAAAAATCGTTTTTTAAACTTTTGCGTGAATATGACATTGTAGAGAAAAGTTTCCTCTTGAGCATGTCGGCTGAAAAGTTGAGTTTCGTCGCAGTTTTATCGCATTTCGAAAGCAAACTACGGTGCTCGTTATGAAAATGATATTTTAATGTTACGGTAGTTCAACGATCGTCAACTCTGCGGTTACAATTTAGTGGCGCATCGATTATCAAGTTAGAAACGTTCGTTGCAACTGTTTCGAATATGTCTCGCACACGTTTTTTTAATAGTTCGCTCAGTATTTCGACGGACCGGGTAAAAAAAATTTTGTGAAGTACGTTTATTTCCGTTTCGAAATTGGCAATCGACACGAGATTAACGCTGGATTCGAAGGATCCGATCTTGATCGATGTGTTTACCCGATGCCGGTGTTTAAAGTACGATTTAGCCACGGCCCGGAATTCCCACCAGCGAGAGCGTCCAATGACAGACGTCCATTTTACGAGCGCGACAAAATTTCGAACCGATAAGCGGACAATCTCCGATAACCATTGACAAGAACGCCAGTCTGCAGTTGCGATCGGACGACGACAGTTGGGAAAATCGGCGATCATTCGATCAGACATCTGTCCACTTCAAGGTAACTACGATTAATTCGTAATTAAACGGAAAATATTCGTAGCGTATTTCATTCGCCGAAATTCATTCGTTAGAGAAAAGAGGAACTGGAAATATTTTATTTTAATAAACATTCTTGTTACGGAACAACGTGTTGACGTTTGTTCAGGATTGAAGAAAAACCGCCACATGTTCGAGTTTGTTGCAAATTTTATATTTAGTTTCGCTGTGAACAAGAAACATGCTACGTGTTCGAGTTTGTTGCAAATTTTATATTTATTTTCGCTGTGAACAAGAAACATGCTACATGTTCGAGTTTGTTGCAATTTTATGTCAAGGTTATGTCAAGATGCAAAAGTATATACATATTTATGTACTTGTTACAGTTTCATTCGATTAACTTTGAAATAAATTCCGGAAATTATAACAATTTCCTGTCAGCTTCTCAAATTTATTTAATTTCCTCTGTGTGCCCTAATACTTTTGGCGGGGAGTGTACTAGTTATACGTACCTTTAAAGAATGAAGAGTTATTCTCGAAAAAGAAATGTCGCGTTAAGGTTAAATGCGTTTGGTGTAATAGACGACACATTTTACTTTCTTGCCAGAGCTTTACCTCGAAAGACGAGGAAAAACGAAGAACTTCGAGAACAGTTTCAACTGCTATTTGCGAGACGCTCGAGGTCTGTGTGTATTAACTTTCTTCCCGGTTAGAGTTGTTTGCTTTTTCCAACTATGACACGTGAGTCAAGCACGCTTGTCCTTCTCTGTTTGTAGATAATACAAGATTAAATGATTTAATTCGCACATTTTCTTTTTGCAAATAATTAATTTCGTCAAACTTGTCAATTTTCAATGTGACAAACATGGCCTCACATTTAAAGGGGTACAGCGTTGGGAGTGCATCGTACTTAAAATCTAAAAACAGTATCTTAAAGTAGAGATTTCAAGATCATCGCACTGCGATGATTTTTTGCGATGTTATCGTCTCTCAGTCAAAGTTGGTCAATTTTTATCCAAACTTTCTTTATGCTATAATATTTTTGCGCCGTGCGTGAAGGGATTTTGAGGTGAACTCTTCAATCTTTAACGATATATAACTAATACATCCGAAACATCGGAGAATAGTATTTATGAAAATAATTATACACTTATCATTTTTCAAATATCTGTGATACAGGGTGTCCCAAAATTATTGTACAAACGGGAAATGAGGAGTTCCTGAGGTCATGTAAAGTGACTTTTTCCTTAGTGAAAATGCAATCCACGGCTTCGTTTACGAGTTATGAACGGAAAACAATGACCAATGAGAGACGAGATTAGCTGGCGCGAGGCGGCCGAGCCAATGAGCGGAACTGGACATCGTTGGTTGAGTCGCCTCGCGCCAGCCAAGTTCGCCTCTCATTGGTCACTGTTTTTCGTTAATAATTCGTAAACAAAGCCGCGGATTGCATTTTCGCTAAGGAAAAAGTTACTTCAAATGACCTCAGAAATCACCCTTTTCCGGGTGTTAACATAATTATGGAACACCCTGCAGTTAGGTTTCACGTGTAGCCTAAGGTTTTAAATCGAATCGATCGATCAATCACATTTCTTTTATACAAATCCACAACACTTACAATGACTATGGCGTATAGAATGATAAACAAGATCCGCGAATCCAATTTCAAAGAATGACCGATTTCTTATCATTGTGTTCATTTTCTTTCTTCAGACGAACAACAAGTGATTAGAAAAAGCATCGATAATGGCGGAAAAGCAGGAGTCAACGAAGAAAATAATCGAAGAATCAATGACCGTAACATCGGAGATTGTTGATGGTCCATCACAAATGAGTATCATCGGTGGATCCGTAGTAGATGGCGGGGTGAAATATATAAACGGAGTCCCGCACAGACAGGACCGGAATGGAGTCTGGCGACCAGTGATCAGTATAGACGTAAATGACACATAATTCTGACACCGATAGCTACTCTAAATTTTACTGTTCTGCGGAGTGGTTTAGTCATTGACATTTGATGCGAGAATTAACTCAATCTTTGTACAACATCTGACTAAATAAATACTTCGTGAACTATTCAATGCTGTTATTGTTGTAACTAGAACCTGATAAAATGCTTTATGATGGTACTAATTTGTTCATCATACACAGTCTGATATTGTTTTTACTAAAGTTATTATTAAAATAATTATAAAGTTACAGTTGATTACTGAGAAAGATTGTTGCAGGTTGAAATTCTGAAGTATTTCAATATTGCTGTATTGTAGCATTAATACAGTGAACGATTACATTGTTGAAACATTGAAATACTAAAACATCGAAATATGAAAATATTGAAAGGTTAATTTCTTAAAATATTAAAATATTAAAATATTGAAAGATTAATGTATTAAATGATAAGCTATTTAAAAATTAAAATATTAAAATGTTATTAAATTGAATCATTACAATATTAAACTATTTTATAAATATTTTATCTGATATTTATATCTAATATCGTTAAATTATTAATTAATATCAGGTAGCCTCTTCTTCCCTACATAAAAAAGGAAGTATTAATATATGAAATATCGTCCAAAGTGAATATTTCCTAAATATTCTTCAAGTGTGACCAAAAATCTCAGAAACAGATCACAAGCAGCAATAATTAATATTTATTTAATNCGTAATCAAAAATCTCAAAAACAAATCACACAGACAATAACAAGCAACAATACTTAACATTTATTTAAGGAAATTTACAGATAATTCCCCCAACGCAGTTTTGTAATGTTAAAATCATGCTCGTGAATTATAAGCATCTAGAAAAACGATTTTCCATTGGGCTTTTCCTTTTTTCACAGCGTATTTCTTTCGTGTTTGTCATGTT